ATAATAATAATAATAATAATAATAATAATAATAATAATATAACATTTATATAGCGCATTTCCAAAAAAAGTAGCTCAGTGCGCTTTACATTGGAATACCCATTTTTCAAAAACCTTTCTTACTACCGGGTACTTCCTTTCTTCTCATGCAATATACATTAATGCACACACACACACACACACACACACACACACACACACACACACACACACACATTCACATACACACACACACACACAGACTATTTTCATCCAGACATAGGAACAGAACAACTATAATGAAAGATAACGTTAAAAGCTTATGAAGGATAGGCCTGTAGGAACAGAAAATGTTTAAGATGTCTTTTGAAGCTATCAAGTGTTCTTATTTGTCTTAGTTACTTAGTTTCATGGGTAATCTGTTCCACATAAATGGACCAAGATATGAGAAAGATCTCTCTCCGTATGATTTGTACGATTTTACAGGTGTCACAAGTATAATAATATATGAGCGCCAAGGGGTGGGTGTCAACACAGAATTCCAAACAGGGAATCAAGCTTACTCTGCTCATCTCTCCAGCCTCAACTCAACAGTATAAAGTCTGCTTCGACTATCAAGGCACCCCGGAAATAGCAGTTCACAAGAGAGTGACCAAAACACAAAAGAAGTAGAGGCAAAATGATGATTGTAAGGATGAGGAAAGAAGAAGCAGCAGTAAAATAATCATAATAATAATAATAAAAATAATAGTAATAATAATGATAATAATAACGATGATAATAATAATAATAATAATAATAATAATAATAATAATAATAATAATAATAATAATAATAATAATAATAATTTAATAATATGATAGTCACGTTAAACTCGTAGATATCTACAACAACCACAATTGATTTTGTTCTGCAAGTGTTCAGTAGATTTTTGGTCAAGCTCACTCATGCCTGCAACAACTCGCTTTATCTCTTTAAAAAAAGTCTTTTTTTATGTTACTTATTTATTTATTTTATTTGTTTACGTATTTATCGTTAAATTAATTAATTAATTTCTCTAATTTTCTGTATTTTCTTTCTTTCTTTCTTTTGTAGTTTTTTTTATATTAATGTATTTTATTTCTTTTTTTAAATTTCGTTCTTTCTTTCTTTATTCATTCATTCATTCATTCATTCATATATTTACTTCTATTTATTCATTTATTTATTTATGTATTTATTCATGTATTTATTTATCTCTCAGGTGGATGCAGGTCCGGATGGACATGTTGAGCTACGTCATCATCGGCTCGTCTGTTATCTTCGCCGTCTCCTCCAGAGATGAAATGTCGGCCGGTCTGGTGGGTCTCACAATCACGTATGCGCTGTCGGTGAGTACAGAGTAGAGGAGTGGGAGAGCTGGATGCGTGGTTGTCATCATCTTTAGTCTTTTGTCCATCCATGTCTTCAGATTTACTGACTTACTTTTAGTTTCACTTTTATGAGTGGTTAGTGGGTGTTCTGCTCATGCTGTGGTTTGTTCCTATAATATCGTCCTGATCTCCCCTCCTTCTTTTTTATATTTGTTACTCTCTTGTAATACCTTTAATCTTCTGACGCCCATATGACCTTATGCAGTTGCGAGCACCGTAAAACTTCTACTAAAACTAAAGAAAAAACTAAGATTCACTGACTTACTTTTAGTTCCACTTTTTGGGTTGTTAGTAATGTTAGTGAGTGTTTTGCTGTGATTTGTTCCTTGTTTCCTATCAAACATTTTCTATCATCCTTATTATGATCTCTCCTAACTGTATAAGATGATTATAATTTTTCCGATGCAAGCTGCTGTTTCCTAGTTGAAGGAGAACAATCTATACTTTTTGAAGTGAACACTGGTGTTCTACAAGGCTGCATATTATCACCTGTACTTTTTGTAATTGTGCTTCTCCGGTGTTGTAGGAGAGGCTATAGCCATAAGGGCAAAACATGAACTGAGCAGGACAGCCCAGTATAATGATAGGTAGTGGGCTTGAAGTGAGAGAAGGAAGAAGAAGAAGAAGAAGAAGAAGAAGAAGAAGAAGAAGAAGAAGAAGAAGA